GGCCCCTTCAGGTACTGGCAGCTGCTCTAAGGTCACCCTGGAGCCTCCTCCAGGCTGAACAGCCCCAACTCCCTCAACCTGTCCTCGTAGGAGAGGTGCTCCAGCCCTCAGATCATCTTGGTGGCCCTCCTCTGGACCCGCTCCAACACATCCACGTCTCACATTTTGCAACAGTTTATTCAGCAGCCTTCTCACACCACCAGCAGTGCCCGTGTTCTTCACAGCCAAGTGAGTGCCTTTTCCTTCAAAATATCTTTTACTAACCTGTACTCGATTTAACCGTCTCTTTCCCAATTGTTTGGCCTAAAAGATCGTACTGATTCAACCTGGAGCCGTCGGGTGCCACCTGCACTGAATCTGAAGCGTTGTAGGTCCAAATGTATGTCACTTCTGAAGTGGTGTACGCATCTGTGGGAAAGAAGACAAAATATCTTGTCAGCAATTTGAATTAAACTGCTTCCATCAAAACTCGTAGAATTAAAAGAGCTACTTCTTTTTTTAAAAAAAACCCACCACAAAAACTCAAAATGAGATGGTAAAAAATATGTTTGGCCATTTGAAATAGCTTTACTGAAGGGTAAATGCCTATCGCAGCATGGGAACAGGGCACTCATTTGTGATCTTATTAACCACAATTTAATGCTATTAAATTACAAACAACCTCTCTTCTACCCTGTTAAAAAAACACTTGCCAGAGATTAGAAATTATAAGTGTCCTAAAACTGTGGTAAACCAGATGAAAGGGACAAGAATTCGCAAGATTTAGGACACACAACATCTCTGAAAATTCCCTCCTGTACTGTTCCCAGTTTCCACTGTCCCCACGCTCCGCTTTGGGAGCATGTCACAAGCATTTTGTTATTAGCTGAAATTCATACCTAAATATGGGGAGGCAGGCTCAGTGGCAACGCCCTGAACTACCTTGTAGAGGCTCCGTACCTTGCCCTGCGTACCCTCTTAAATTTTGCTCCTTGGCATCTGTTCTGGGACACAGGGGCATGAAGCAGGCTGCTCTCACTGCGTTCATAATCAAACACACATTTAGCCTAGGGTCTGTCAAAAGCAGCTAGAAGGAAAGCAAATCAACACTGTATTTTAAATAGTATTAATGCCTCTTCAGTAAGTAAGAAAGAAAAAAAAGAAGAGTATGTCCTGCAAGTTTTTCCAGTCTAATACCCTACTAACAAATGGAGTAGGAAAGGAAAAGGGTAAACCACTGATGGAAGAAACTGTGTGTTCATTTTGATTGACTGAGACAAGAACATCTGAAGTCTTCCACCATAACTGGAGTGAAGTGAAAAGGAAAAGCAACATTTCTGTCGGGCTGCAAACATTTTCACTTGAGAAATCTCTGGAGGCCCAGAAAGCAGCTTCTTCATGCAAGCAGCAGCAAATGGCACGCCTAACAGAATCTGGCAGGTGGGCAGCGTGTGGAGGTTTCTTCCCACTCCCCTTCTATCTTTCCAGCTTCCCACAGCACCTCTGCTTGGGGCAAGCCAGCAGCACCGCCAGTTGCTGATTCACAGAATCACAGAATGTTCGGGGTTGGAAGGGACCTCTGTGGGTCACCCAGCCCAACCCCCTGCCCAAGCAGGGTCACCTACAGCAGGCTGCACAGGACCGCGTCCAGGCGGGTCTATTTGTCCCCATCCTCCTCGCTGTTGGCTAGACTTTATGGTAAGGATAAAGCAAGGCAATCCACTAAGCCACAGGTTCTCTAGTACATTGAGTTTGGCTTTTCTCTTACACATAACCCCCCCCAAGACATTCGTCCAGGCTGCTGACCCTCCCAGCAATACAAGATCAGCAGCACATGAAGAGCTGTGACCAATCTATACTGCTGGCTGACTTGCCTTAGCCAATCCAAAATCCTCAGGGTTCCTGCTTATTGCCACCACTCATCATCCTTTAAATTCAATCCCAAAACAAAAGCTGAAAAATGCACAGTCGTCTAGAAACGAGTTCTGGGTGAAGAAATAAAAGGAGTGCGAAGCTGCTCAAAATGAACAAAAATCAGCGTCCCCCTGGCTGTGCCACCAGTCTGGAGCACAGGGGGCTACGGGGGCAACCAAAGACATCTCTTCGAAAATCACATTCCTCACTGTGAATTCTCCTGTTTAACTAGAAAACCTGAAAGTAGGGGCAGAGGACAAAGAACAAATCAGTAAGCAAAAAAACACAAAATAACAGGCGAGAGAAATAAAAAATAAAGGGAAAAAAAGAAACCGTTCACACAAAGTCTGATACACCTAGTCAGAAGGGTCTCCAATTTAGGAACACAAACGAAGTCGTAATATAAAGTAATATAATCTAAAGTAATATAAAGATACTCTTGGATTGAGTATCCGTTTCATTATCACGGGGTTTTTAAAGTTGTTTTGAGGTTATATATGAGTCTTTTTTCCTCCCACACTTTATAAATCAAACCTACCTTTCTGTGCACGTACATCTAAATATTATCAGTCAGCACCCGATTTCATCTAACATCTCTGCTGTTAGCTAGTTAAGCATGTATTATGTACTATGAATATACTATTTAGGGGGCAAAAAAGGCTCCATGCTACAAACAGCATTAATTCTGATGATCTGTTCTCTCCATAGCTAAGATTTCCCTCTAGTGCGGAAACATCATCAGAGACACAGGCTTGGTTTTATTTGCTCCAAGCAGCGGGGCTACGTCAGGGTTATGGCAAGAGCGGGCACAGCGCTCTGCCAGCGTTCGTCACATTAATGATGGCCTCCACGGCAGCGTGCTACCTGGTTTGTGGCCTGTGGTGGCTGCAATTGGTGTAAAATCAGCCAGAATTTAAAGGTATTAACTGGTTTCCTCAAAAAAAAATTTCCTTTCCTGGGCCCAGCCGCGAACGTAGGCAGCAGCCAAAGAAAAGGAGAAAATTGTTCAGTGTACAAAATGCAGCAAATAGATGTAACGTGATCTTAATTCACAAAGAAGAAGAATAAAGGTTTTAATATAGGTAAATCCATTTATGCTGCTGTTAAAACTAGCGAGATGGAAGCCTGCCTGTCTATACCACGCAGATGTGCTAATGAGTGGAATTTTTTATCAAGGATTTTTTATCGCAAGAAGCCATTTGCTGTTGCCCTCATTGACCAAGGCTGCAAACCCAAATATCATTAACAACAAAGAGAAAATAAACGTTTCTATCGATGAAAACAAACGTTCTCTGGAGTCTTTAATGTGATCCTCTTTAATACGGCGCAGGCCACGCGCGCCCAGGTCTGCAGGCTCCAACGAGAGCAGAGCAGTGCAGCGCTGAACCAGGTGCACGCTGCTTAGGGTCACCTGGAGCCAAGAAAGCTTTACAACACATTAGAAGACGCCACACTGAACGGAGAAAAGAGATTTTCCACGTGTCGGGTTACAAATTTTTTACAAAGCACAAAAATCTTGTGCTTTAGAGCTCTCCGGTACCAGCCGACGGACCGGCGCGACGGCGAGCAGCGTCCGACGCTCGCTACTCAAGGAAGGGCTGCGCTTCTCATTCTATACTCACAGCTGCCGAACTTCAGCGGGCAGGAGTGAGCGTCCATGGGGAAGTCCTCCAAGTGCATCGGGCACTCAGCTTGGACCGTCAGCCTGCAAGGCAAGAGATGGCCGCAGGTTGGAGTCAGTTAGATGGGCAAGGAAATCAATTCCGCAGAAACGAGTCGAGTTCACTCTGACCGAGGAGATGAAGCTGCAATGCTGTATTAAGCTAATTAAAATTTAAATCGGCTCTCGCTTCTTCCCTTTGATGTGCTCCTTTGGAAGGCATTGACTTCTCACATCGAAAACCTGAAAGCGCTGACCTCAAAACTATGAGGAAAGGCCATTTAAATGAAAATATAAATTATGTAACTGCAGGTTGTTACGAGCAGTCATTTTCTTCTCATAATATTCTGAGGTACATGTGTGATTATATGGCTCTCCAAGGCTCATTACAAAAGAACATCAAATACAGTTAATTTGCCAAAGTACTGTGCTCCATAGTTTTTTGATTTTTATTTCTTTTACAGCTTGAATGGAATATGTAGAAAAACTACAATTTGTGTTCTTTCAAAAGATTGCTACTACTCCTTCTCCATGTTACTTGTGATTATTATTTTTATTTATGTGTAAGCATGACAGTATGTTAACCATGCGTTCACTTTTGCTCATCTTGCGAAAAAATCCCAGCAGTATCCCAGCATCAAATATGGGGATTACTGCAATAAAAAATAATTTAAAACAGTTGAAGAAAGTTTTTGACAGACTCTTCTTCACCATTTTTTTTAATTAAAAAAAAA